CCAATTTGGACACCAGAAAAATCAAACATTATCTATATCACTGCTTAGGACCTGTAATAAGGTTTCTTTGTACCAAATCCCATGTAAGTTGGTTCACATACACATGAACAGTTCATGAAAACCCCAAATTGTGCTTTTATCACTGAAAAATTGAGCAAAAGGCAAAAATTCCAAAATTGTCTATATCTCTAGTCTGGGACCTACAAGGAAGTTTCTATGTACTAAATCCCACATACCTAGGTCGAAATATGGCCAAAAAAATGGACCAAAACACCTAAAATAATGGGATTAGTCAACCTTTTTACCCCCTAAAATGACCATAAATGGGCATATCCCATATTTTTGTGTTTATGTGTAGGGGTCTGTAAAAAAAGTATCTTTGTACCAAATCCCATGTAAATTGGCCTAAATACGGTGAAGTAATTGTCAAAAACCCTTACATTATGCTTTTTGTGGCATCTTGATCCCCCTATAATTACTAAAAAATAAGCAAGCCTACCATTTTTGTTTGTGAATGTGTGTTGCCTGTAGAAAAGTATTTTTGTACCAAATCCCATGTAAATTGTTTAAAATATGGCCATGTAATTGACCTTTTTAGTTCTGACCCCCCCTAAAAATACTCAAAATGGGCAAATCCAACTTTTTCGTACATCAATGTGTTTCATTTTGATTTCTGTAAATATGACCACACCAAAGCCCAAAATATACATATACTGGATTATTTGACCCCACAAAGTCATTAAAACAACCTAAATAAAAAAAACAGAGAAAACAAAAAGATGTCTGGGCATATTGAACCAATGTATAACCTTTTCAAGTTTCCAGTCAATCCACCAAGAAATAAAGGAATGGCAATCAACTGAAAAGTGTTTGGAAGAAGAAAGAAGACACAATATAAAAATAGTATGTCTCTCTGTGGAGACATAATTAAGAATAGTTTTGCAATTTTCCTTGTTTTCCATGAACTCTATGAAGCAAAATACTTTCCATTTTTCCCTTCTATACTTTATAGTTCTAGCTTTTTTTCCCCATAAATCAACCATGCATGTGGAAGGCTCTGAAAAAACAATTTCTCCTTATCTTTGACAAACCCAACTTAGATAGCCTGATTTTAGTGCCCTATTTTCCAACCCTTGGATGTTACTAGTTTATATATTCATTATAAAGAAACTTTCCTCAAAATAATTTCAAACTAATAAGAATCATTAAGGTCATGTAGCAAAAATCACAGAAACTTTGTTTCTTTGTTGATAAGCACAAAGCTACATACAAAATGGGCTGTTTTGTGCCCACCATGGGTATCAAAATCAGATTTTTAGTGGAATAAATCCTCAGACTAACTGCTGAGCCCTAAGGGGGCATCATAGAAGCACATTATGGATTGCTGTAAAAGATTTAAGAATTATAAATTGACCATGTAGGATTCAAACCAATGTATGCTGACTACAGGCTTTAACCAACAGAGCTTAAGTTTTCCAAACTGTGCTAGCCTGAGATATTACTTCATTTAAATTATTACAACAGAAAGTAGGAAGGCATAAACTAAGTCTGCTCAATCTCAATGTCTGCTGAAAATTATCAGAATTATATAGGGTGGAGAACTTCCATCAACAATTCCCATCTACTTAAAAATCATTTTCTCTGTACATCCCATCAAATAATAATACATGTAATCTCAGCTTCAATAGTAATATGTCAAAGCTTAAAAAATTTACAAAGGATGGAGTGATACCCAACTCGTTAAGGATAGTTTTTCATCAAAAATATCTTTTAAGTTAAGAAATCAGAATGTACAATTAAACACACATTAAAACTATCTTGATAAATTCTTGATTTTGAATACATCACATAAATATTTTATTATAAAGCTTTATAAATAATATCAAAGTGGGTGATTCTAGATCATAAGAAGGTAAACTTAACTTTTCATATTACACCCTAACCGCAAGCACATTTTTTACTCTTTCTTTTGTATATTTTGATCAAATACGTTAAAATATTCGTTAAAGAAAACTTTGAACTAACTGTTTTACTTTAAACATTACTTGTAGTTAGCTTATTGTTATTATCACTTATTCCTTTATGATTTAACAGTAGCTAGTTTCAAATGCATAATACACAAGAATTACTTAGTACCATTTGATGTGCTGGTATTAAGTAAAAGCATGATAATCAGTAACTAAAAACTAACTGTGCAATACCACACTTTTCTTGCATACCTTAAGGATTTAAACCCAGGACTGCTTGCACTATAAGTGAGTGTTCTACCAACTTAGCTATAGAGTGACCTCCTGCTTAGCACTTTTTAAGAACATAAATTATCACATTAGGAATTTGAAAATGATCAATAACTCAAGATGCTTACCCAAAAAATGTGATAAGCAGGTTGTCACCAGCAGCAACCAGAGGAGCCCTCAAATCATTCATGTAGAGGATAAAAGTAACAAGGATGTAGTCTAGATGACTTCGATGTAGTGGAAGATATATCAAAGGCACATTATTCTGTAATACAAGACTTACATCACCTTACATGGTTAAAAGTACAAAAACATTGAAAACAATCCAGAAGATCATTGTTCTAGTAAAAGTGCTACATATTTTGTTATGAAATCTTGAATTAAATCCTAGTTTTATATATACACACACACTATTTTCCTCAGTGATACAATTTCCATTGAGATATTTCATAAATAATTTTTTTTAAATTACCTTAACAGAAAAATAAGAATACTTTAAGAAAAGTTTAAAAATTAGTATATATATATATATATATATATATATATATAACTATCTGTACGACGAACGGCGGAGTACGTACGTACGAGACGCAGAATAGTCGGCATGCTCGAGACTCGACCGAACGACGACCAGTAGGGAGTAG